AACTATTAATTCAGTCATGAACCATGGCCACAAACTATTAATTCAGTCATGGACCATGTGCACAAACTATTAATTTAGTCATGGACAATGGCCGCAAAGTATTAATTCAGTCATGAACCATGGCCACAAACTATTAATTTAGTCATGGACCATGTGCACAAACTATTAATTCAGTCATGGACCATGTGCACGAACTATTAATTAATTCATGGACCACGGCCACAAAATATTATAATTATCAGAGCAATGTAGACCAGAGATGAAAACAACAAGTATTAACGAAATCTTCAATATGACTGTACATACTAATTGTAGAAAAATTAGGACTAGTCAAAATGCTGTCCTGTTCTGTAATTGCTTCCTGTATAACTTTACTCAAATCCTGGAAAATAACTTCAGCTTTTTAGATAATATAAAATATAGAGTAAGTTGCTACCATTTTCCAATTCTGTATATCTTGAATACAAGATAACTGTTATGAGCTTTTGTTTCAGTTTCCTTTCAAAAACATAAACATACCCAAACCCTTATTGTGGCCACTTCCCTAACTTTAAAGATAACCCTAACCATTCCACGTAACTAATAATTATAATCAAAAACTTACAGCTTTTGTGGGAGTTATCTCTAACATTATGAACATTCCCAGATAATTTGCGTTAGTTATCAGCTGAAATAGGAAGTTATAATTTGCTTTAGTTATCAGCTGAAATAGGAAGTTATAATTTCCGTTAGTTATCAGCTGAAATAGGAAGTTATAATTTGTGTTAGTTATCAGCTGAAATAGGAAGTTATAATTTGCGTTAGTTATCAGCTGAAATAGGTAGTTATAATTTGTGTTAGTTATCAGCTGAAATAGGAAGTTATAATTTGTGTTAGTTATCAGCTGAAATAGGAAGTTATAATTTGCGTTAGTTATCAGCTGAAATAGGAAGTTATAATTTGCGTTAGTTATCAGCTGAAATAGGAAGTTATAATTTGTGTTAGTTATCAGCTGAAACATGAAGTTATAATTTGTGTTAGTTATCAGCTGAAATAGAAAGTTATAATTTCCGTTAGTTATCAGCTGAAATAGGAAGTTATAATTTGTGTTAGTTATCAGCTGAAATAGGAAGTTATAAGTTGTGTTAGTTATCAGCTGAAATAGAAAGTTATAATTTGCTTTAGTTATCAGCTGAAATAGGAAGTTATAATTTGCGTTAGTTATCAGCTGAAACAGGAAGTTATAAGTTGTGTTAGTTATCAGCTGAAATAGGAAGTTATAATTTGTGTTAGTTATCAGCTGAAATAGGAAGTTATAAGTTGTGTTAGTTATCAGCTGAAATAGGAAGTTATAAGTTGTGTTAGTTATCAGCTGAAATAGAAAGTTATAATTTGCTTTAGTTATCAGCTGAAATAGGAAGTTATAATTTGCGTTAGTTATCAGCTGAAACAGGAAGTTATAATTTGTGTTAGTTATCAGCTGAAATAGGAAGTTATAATTTGTGTTAGTTATCAGCTGAAATAGGAAGTTATAATTTGCGTTAGTTATCAGCTGAAATAGGAAGTTATAATTTGTGTTAGTTATCAGCTGAAACAGGAAGTTATAATTTGCGTTAGTTATCAGCTGAAACGGGAAGTTATAGATAAGAGTCTCACTTGTCTGTGAACATGTGCCATAGACAAAATATTTATGATAACAAAATATTCTGAAATATTACAAAATTAATCATGAAAAATTACATCAAGTATACAAATTGTGATTTTTGGGTATTAATCTATCCAGTTAATTTTAGTTAAGAATTAATTATTTCAGACCACAGTGTAAAACTTACTATACATTGATTCAGGCCGTCGGTAGAGGTAAAACATCGATAATGGTTGGAATATTTAGACATCAAGATTGGTACTAAAGTTCGATACCAAGAAACCGGCATGGTAGATAATGGTAATAACTGTACATCCTCGTTACTTAATGGAGTTCTAATCACCATCTTTAATAATTCTTGAAACTCATCATAACTCAACTTCCCTAAATTCTAAAATACATAGCAAAAGATTCTAAAATACATAGCAAAAGATTCTAAAATACATAGCAAAAGATTCTAAAATACATAGTAAAAATTGCAAAATGTTAACAGAAAATTTTTATTTTCTAAATCTATTAACCTGCAACAATAATGAAATCATTACAAAAGTAAAGTAGAATATTTAGACACCAGCCAAAGTAGGGGAAGCAGTTAAATTACTGACCGAATGCAATTATATTTTACATATTTCAAAAATTGAAATTGCAGCCTCAATGTCATGTCCTATTACAATATTACTTGACAAAAAAAAACAATAGTGTTTCTGACGAAGAGTTTGTAAAATTCTCATAACTAGGTTAGAAATTCTGGCAACCTGAGATATTCCCTTCAATTTAAAATTTTAAATAACATGAATATAAATAAATATAATCTCACCATATTGTCACGATTGTCTTCTAAATCAGTTTTCCGTCGTTTCTTCTGTTCCTCTTCATTATTCAACATTCTCTTCCACAACAAGTCACGTCTACATTTACTTTTCGACGTTTCCACCATTTCTTTGATTTCATTACTGAAATTCAGACAATAAAAAATATTATAACCTATATATTCTACCGATTCTGATTGGCTGACAATATTATTCTACTTGATTTCAATTCTAAAAGATCATACAGATAGTTTGAGTTGACAAAAAAACAAATATAGACTAAAATCATCAATTTAATGAGAAACTCACCAAGATGATTTCATTTCTCTGGATAATAATTCATAAATAGCTGCCTGATGTTTATTAGAGTAGCCCAAATAATCCACGATTTCTTGACGGACTCCAATATGTTGTTTAACTGGTACAGGTTGGACTGTTTCATTTTCTATCGGTTCATTATTACTCTCTATCGTACAATAATAGATATACAAATTTTATTCATCTTTTAAAACATTATAGAATTTCAAGGTCTAACAATGATAAACAAAGTAAGAAATAACAAATAACAACGTAAATAACAACACTACATTGATGTTAGCATACCAAGTTTTTTCATTTAATATTTTGGTGTTTGTTTGAACTTATCCACTATGTCTATCTTCAGGCTTTTGAATTCCCTGTGGACAGTGATATGTACACAAGAATTTATGTGGTGAATAGAAATATACCTGTAGGTAAGAGTCTATTTGGTCGAATTCCAACCAATCGTTTTTCTAAATTCTTCAAAGGAAAACAATCCTGTCTTCTGGTTAATAATACAAAATATTTTAATCGTAAAATAGGTCGATCTGTATCCGGACTAGTTCTGCCTTGAACAACCTCTTGGGTTATTATTAATCCCACATCATAATCATCTGTTTCCTTCTGGCCTGAATTTACCAATTTATGATGTCTTAATAATGCATACTCATCAACATTCTTCACATAGCAATAATCCTGAAACAAAATAAGTTTTATTATTAAATTTGAACTGTTGTATTCACTGCAATATCAGAAAAATTTAGAAGCATATTCTACTAGAAGGGAAATAACTCTTTAAAAATTAAACATTGCCAAGTCTATCAAAATTCCATCATTTTCGTTTCAATACAATTTGATGAAAATGTTGACAAACAAACCCATAGTTGGACATAAATTTTTTGAATATGAAAAGGATTTGAACAATGTCCCAAATACAACAATACTTACTGGTTCTACATCATAATCTACAACAGCCTTCATTTTAACAACTCTCATCTCATACTGTTTCATTTGTTTAATCATATACTCAAAAACTTGATCATTAATACAGTGAGAGTCTGACAGCATCACATATTCTATAACACAAAACATAACATACTCTGTAACACAAAACATAACATATTCTATAACACAAAATATAACATAACATATTGTATAACACAAAACATAACATACTCTGTAACACAAAACATAACATATTCTATAACACAAAATATAACATAACATATTGTATAACACAAAACATAACATATTCTATAACGCAAAATATAACATAACATATTCTATAACACAAAACATAACATTACATATTCTATAACACAAAACATAACATTACATATTGTATAACATAAAACATAACATATTCTATAACACAAAACATCACATATTCTATAACACAAAACATAACATCACATATTCTATAACACAAAACATAACATTACATATTCTATAACACAAAACATAACATTACATATTCTATAACACAAAACATCACATCACATATTCTATAACACAAAACATAACATACTCTAAAACACAAAACATAACATCACATATTCTGTAACACAAAACATAACATACTCTATAACACAAAACATAACATCACATATTCTATAACACAAAACATAACATTACATATTCTATAACATAAAACATAACATTACATATTCTATAACACAAAACATAACATTACATATTCTATAACACAAAACATAACATTACATATTCTGTAACACAAAACATAACACACTTTGTAATACAAAACATCACACCATGTTTCACAGATGATTTGTATAATACAATTTATCAAAACAAGTGATAAAATGAGAATAGAATCTATGTTACTAACCTTGTTGGAGACAATTTCGAGAGAAACTTGGAGCGTAAGAATAAATCTGTGTAAAATCAGTGAGGAAATTGGTCAGATGAAAACCTTGGTGAAATATAGTTTCTTCCCCAGATATATAACGTTGAATGCAGCGCAGGTGAAAATCATGAGCAAAACTGTGAACATGAATTAAATCTTTATATCTCTGACACTCATCAACAAATAATAATTTCATCTAAAATATAAACACTTCTTTCATTTCATTTCTAATAAAAAATATAATTAGTAAATATCATTAGTAAATATCATTAGTAAATATCACTAGTAAATATCACTCGTAAATATCACTCGTAAATATCACTCGTAAATATCACTCGTATATATAACTCGTAAATATCACTAGTAAATATCACTAGTAAATACCACTAGTAAATACCACTAGTAAATATCATTAGTAAATATCACTAGTAAATATCACTAGTAAATATCACTCGTAACTATCTTTAGTAAATATCACTCGTAAATATCACTAGTAAATACCACTAGTAAATACCACTAGTAAATACCATTAGTAAATACCACTAGTAAATATCACTAGTAAATATCACTAGTAAATATCATTAGTAAATATCACTAGTAAATATCATTAGTAAATATCACTAGTAAATATCACTAGTAAATATCATTAGTAAATATCACTAGTAAATATCATTAGTAAATATCATTAATAAATATCATTATTGATTGTGATCAGATAACTCCTTAATTTGTTTGATAAAAATTCCAGTCTTGAATATAATAAAAATATGATAATAAAAATATGATAATAAAAATATGATAATAAAAATACTCCAACCTGTTGATTAATGTTAATACTGATCTGAGAATAGTCGAAAACAAATAACTTGACACAGAAATATTCTTCTCTATATCCAATATCCATCAGTAATATTCCTCCTGTCATTGTTTTCTGTAGACTAACTGATGTCAGATTGGTTTCTTCTCCTGTATATATATTATACGTACTGGGTATGTCACTAGCCCTAAAAATAACAATAAATCTCATCTTAAAATCTTTCAATAAAATCTAAACTGAGAAATAAGACAATATAAACAATCTAAGTTAAACTGAAGGAGTATTAATTCATCAATTAACAGTTAGATATAACTGCCTAAAACAAGTAAATGTAAATATAGTTGAGAGAGAATGACCACTAGCCTTTTTCTTGAAGATTGTTGAACTTTGACAGTTTTAAAACCTAGATTCTGTAGATAACTCATATACTCTTTAATAAAATTATCTCGTAGTTTAATATGCCATGTTTCCTCTTGTGATGTACTTATACGAATTTCAGGAGAATCTTGTGGTGTTGTTGGCTTCCGACGGTCATCTTGGCTTTCAGAACGTTTATTCTTTAAACTGGTTACTGAGGCGCCAGAACTATGACGTGATCTCTAAAATGAAAAATGTATCTTATTGGACTAAAGATTTGTAGTTTCATATTCTACTGTTCTGTATTTTATTGGACTAATGAAATAGAGTTTTATATTCTACTGTTCTGTATCTTATTGGACTAATGAAATAGAGTTTTATATCCTACTGTTCTATATCTTATTGGACTAATGAAATAGAGTTTTATATCCTACTGTTCTATATCTTATTGGACTAATAAAATAGAGTTTTATATCCTACTGTTCTGTATCTTATTGGACTAATAAAATAGAGTTTTATATCCTACTGTTCTGTATCTTATTGGACTAATGAAATGAAATAGAGTTTTATATCCTACTGTTATGTATCTTATTGGACTAATAAAATAGAGTTTTATATCCTACTGTTCTGTATCTTATTGGACTAATGAAATGAAATAGAGTTTTATATCCTACTGTTCTGTATCTTATTGGACTAATAAAATAGAGTTTTATATCCTACTGTTCTGTATCTTATTGGATTAATAAAATAGAGTTTTATATCCTACTGTTCTGTATCTTATTGGACTAATAAAATAGAGTTTTATATCCCACTGTTCTATATCTTGTTGGACTAATAAAATAGAGTTTTATATCCTACTGTTCTGTATCTTATTGGACTAATGAAATGAAATAGAGTTTTATATCCTACTGTTCTGTATCTTATTGGACTAATAAAATAGAGTTTTATATCCCACTGTTCTATATCTTATTGGACTAATAAAATAGAGTTTTATATCCTACTGTTCTGTATCTTATTGGACTAATGAAATGAAATAGAGTTTTATATCCTACTGTTCTGTATCTTATTGGACTAATAAAATAGAGTTTTATATCCCACTGTTCTATATCTTATTGGACTAATAAAATAGAGTTTTATATCCTACTGTTCTGTATCTTATTGGACTAATGAAATGAAATAGAGTTTTATATCCTACTGTTCTGTATCTTATTGGACTAATAAAAAAGAGTTTTATATCCCACTGTTCTATATCTTATTGGACTAATAAAATAGAGTTTTATATCCTACTGTTCTGTATCTTATTGGACTAATGAAATGAAATAGAGTTTTATATCCTACTGTTCTGTATCTTATTGGACTAATGAATTGAAATAGAGTTTTATATCTTACTGTTCTGTATCTTATTGGACTAATGAATTGAAATAGAGTTTTATATCTTACTGTTCTGTATGTTATTGGACTAATGAAATGAAATAGAGTTTTATATCCTACTGTTCAGTATCTTATTGGACTTATGAAAAGGTGTTTTATATCCTACTGTTCTATATCTTATTGGACTAATGAAATGAAATAGAGTTTTATATCCTACTGTTCTGTATCTTATTGGACTAATGAAATGAAATGGAGGTTTATATCCTACTGTTCTGTATCTTATTGTACTAATGAAATGAAATAGAGTTTTATATCCTACTGTTCTGTATCGTATTGTACTAATGAAATGAAATAGAGTTTTATATCCTACTGTTCAGTATCTTATTGGACTAATGAAATGAAATAGAGTTTTATATCCTACTGTTCTATATCTTATTGTACTAATGAAAAGGTGTTTTATGTCCTACTGTTCAGTATCTTATTGTACTAATGAAATGAAATAGAGTTTTATATCCTACTGTTCAGTATCTTATTGGACTTACGAAAAGGTGTTTTATGTCCTACTGTTCTATATCTTATTGGACTAATGAAATGAAATAGAGTTTTATATCCTACTGTTCAGTATCTTATTGGACTTACGAAAAGGTGTTTTATGTCCTACTGTTCAGTATCTTATTGGACTAATGAAATGAAATAGAGTTTTATATCCTACTGTTCAGTATCTTATTGGACTTATGAAAAGGTGTTTTATGTCCTACTGTACTGTACTATTTTGGATTAATGAAATAAAAAACTTATGATGCACAATGACCTGATAGGATAAAACCTGACCATCAGATGAAGTATTTAGCTTACAGATTTTGGTAAATCAGCAGTTGGTGGGGTGGAAGCTACAAGAACATCCTGTTTAAATTGAGTAGTAGTTTTCTCCACGACTCTATGGCGCCACTGAGAGGAGAATAATATTGGGGTGGCACAATAATGGAACAGTCTGGAACTATCTTTTAACAATTTCAAATGATCTTCCTGTAAGTAAGAAAGAAAGAACTTTATTGTAGAAGAATATCAAATAAAATCCTTGAGGTTTCTATCTACCAGCTGGTCATTGACCATAGATATTTGAGTTTTCTTTCTATCGAATGCACCTTGAACAAACATCTTGATTTAACAAGGATATCAACTTATATTTTAGAGGATCCCATCTATCAGCTTGACTTTCTTCAAACATCTTGACAATGATTTTTCATAATATAACAACTTTTCTGGGGAATCCTATATCTAAATATCACTACTTGCCTACCATATAAAAATATTATCATCAACTTACATTGACTGCTGTACTACTTGGTGTTTTAAATAACCAACTATTATACAGGGCACTCAGAGTGTTAAACTTGTCAGCCTCTACAAATATTACAGCAAATATTACAGGAATACTGGTAGATACAAATATTACAGGAATACAGGTAGATACAAATATTACAGGAATACTGGTAGATACAAATATTACAGCAAATATTACAGAAATACTGGTAGATACAAATATTACAGGAATAGATACAAATATTACAGGAATACTGGTAGATACAAATATTACAAGAATACTGGTAGATACAAATATTACAGGAATATTGGTAGATACAAATATTACAGGAATATTGGTAGATACAAATATTACAAGAATACTGGTAGATACAAATATTACAGGAATACAGGTAGATACAAATATTACAGGAATACTGGTAGATACAAATATTACAGCAAATATTACAGAAATACTGGTAGATACAAATATTACAGGGATACTGGTAGATACAAATATTACAGGAACACTGGTAGATACAAATATTACAGGAATACTGGTAGATACAAATATTACAAGAATACAGGTAGATACAAATATTACAGGAATACAGGTAGATACAAATATTACAGGAATACTGGTAGATACAAATATTACAGGAATACTGGTAGATACAAATATTACAGGAATACTGGTAGATACAAATATTACAGGAATACTGGTAGATACAAATATTACAGGAATATTGGTAGATACAAATATTACAGGAATACTGGTAGATACAAATATTACAGGAATACTGGTAGATACAAATATTACAGCAAAACTATAAATTAATCTATAGGTTATTTCTATTCAATGACACAGCATGATACCCAATTAGGAATAAATTTCCCTCAAAAATATGTTTATTATATGATAAAAGGAAAGGTTGAGAAACCCAGCCATCAAGTGGCATCAAGTGGTCTGTTAGAGTGATAATGTTCTGACTAGCTAGACAGCTATAATATTTATTATACTGGAGGTCTATTCAATATTCAGTCCAGAGATGAAAACCAACTAGAAAACAAACGTTAAAATCTATAAAATGAAACTACCTTTTAAACACATATTTCTAATTTCCAAAGCTTGTACACCATGAACATACACAGAATCTTTACTTTTAGAAATCTTGGTATTTTTATGGAGGGGAATGTGGGGCGATTCTTCTTTATAAATCTCATCAAACTGAGGCATTACATCTCGAAGATGAGAATAACCCCGTTCTTTAGAAATTGTTTGACGTCGTTGAAAATCTCTCGGTGGAGCCAAATTACGAAGCAGAATTTCTTTTTCATATGATGGCTGAGTAAATGGATTCTGATCCTTAAAAAATAAAATAAAGCTGTGTATTAGGAAACACCACTGGGGGTAACTAAAAGGACCCATGAAAACAATATTTTTAACAATATTTGATCTGTATTAAGTGAGGATGAGGTAATAACAGGGGGTATTTTAATACAGACAAGGGGTTAGAAGAGATTAAAAAGTTGGGAAGTAAAAAGGTCTAGAAGTACCTAACTGTCATGAGAGATCTAACAATATTTCCTTCAACTTACCGCAGTGTAGGGTAAATCTGTTAATGTCTGATGTTGAAATAAACCCATTTTTTGATGAAGAATACTGTCTAATAGGTGAACCCTGGCATTGTGCCACTGGACTAGTTTAGTTATATGTTTCTCAAGTGAATTAAATATATCTGTGGCCCAGTTATATGTCGCTACCATTATCTGTAAAAATATCAAATAAATAGTAAGCACTGGCCAAGATTCTTTAAACTTTGAAAATTCATGATAAGGGTTTTGAGCATTAGGTGTTTTAACATAGTTTGTTGAAAGTAATAGAATGAAATAATGTATTGCTCCCCAGTCACTACATACCTGTTTCTGATGTATAAATATTGTTAATAAATTCTGCCTAGGTATAAAATCATGTTCACCATGGAAATACAAAGCTTCTGTTGAACCCTGGTCTACGTACACATACGGTTTAAACTTCTGGTTACTGATATCTATAAATAGATTAAAAATAAAGAAATATAATGTCTTTGAAGTGAGGAAATATTCTATGGCAATAATAGGAATGGGAATCAGATATTCAATTCTAAAAAAGTGATACAGATAGCTGAAATTGAGTTCTATCAGACACAGGAAATGTCTTGTAAGCTGAAAACATTTTAATTTGAAAAAAAACACACAAGATCAGCTGATATAAATTTTATCCAGAAAAAAAAGAAATTTTTTACTTTTAGAAGAGAGATTAGGTGGTGATTCTATATTATCATGTATAACTATACTATGCCACTGTTCTACATCTCTTCCTATTATAAAATAACCAGAACCCTTTTTTTCTACATTTGGTTTCTGACGAGCAGCATCTAATGATGTTTCCATACTCTCTTCAGTTGGCTAAAAAACAATTTACAAATTAACCTGTGATTTGTATAACAATATATATATGTATATATATAACTAACTTTAAAGTTTTGGACCTTTAACTGATATTACTAGATCTACAACCGAACATAGCTCTCATCTTTTCAACTAGCTAACCCTCTATAAACTATAAAAACACCTACCAGTACAGGACTACGGCAAGGAAAAAAGGGGACACCAGTGAGTATGTTATCATTTTTATTTACCAATTTAAATAGTTTATATGTCTGATGAGATGAGATGGTTGGTAATATTGTCATAATTTCACGTAACACATAATCCACCGAAAACTTGGATAACAAACTCACTTCAAATTTATTTACAGAAGGGGCAACTGTAATATTATAAAGTTTAGATTAATAAGACTGTTATAATATAAGATAGAGATAAAAAAAAAACTATGATTAAAAACAATACATCTTCAAAAAAAAATATAACAAAATAGAAGTCTCCTGTCTGTCAAACAATAGAATTGAATATTTAGATATACCTAACTTACAACAGAAAATCATCCATAGTTTTAGACATACCTAACTTGGAACAGAATATCACCCATGGTTTTATAATAGAAGGATAAACACTGTGGAGGTTGCCACGGTCACCAGATTCATATTTCATCCTAACATCTCTAATACCAGAACTGGTGGGACTGATTTCTCGGGAAGATGGTACCGATATTTCTGGAGTGCCTGATTCTGGGAATTCAAACATCTAAAAAATACAGAAATACCAAGATTATATGTTCTATACCTGTCTGAATATAATGGAGCTTGTAATAACCTTTTCAATAAAACTCATTATTCCATCATTTTTAGTCAGTTTTCACGTCTTGGTAACAGTAAGTATTTATTATGAAATTATTTATAAAAACAGAAAAAAACTTTGTTCTTGATGTTAAATTTGAGTTTATTAGGTTTTCAAGTTCATGTTTAGTAAATGATTGAATACAAATTTCAACTCACCGGAGAACTTTGAGGAGGAGGAGTAGAAAATCTATTTTTCGAAGACATCAAACTTTTCAAATTTTTCATTGGAGATGCTGATTGGACAACAGGTTTTAATGACAATGAATCAGAGAATCTTTTCCCAATTACAGAATGTCGTCTGTCCTTATTATTACCTGAAATTTTAATTTGATTGTAAATCATATTAACTTCTACTCTCCACTGTACAAGGCAAAGAATCAACGTACAGTGATGTCTCTACTACAATATTTCATCTAAGAACTTTACCTATGACAGTGATGTCTCTACAATATTTCATCATAGAGCTTTAACTATGACAGTGATGCCTCTATAATATTTCATCATAGAGCTTTAACTATGACAGTGATGCCTCTATAATATTTCATCATAGAGCTTTAACTATGACAGTGATGCCTCTATAATATTTCATCATAAAGCTTTAACTATGACAGTGATGCCTCTATAATATTTCATCATAGAGCTTTAACTATGACAGTGATGCCTCTATAATATTTCATCATAGAGCTTTACCTATGACAGTGATGCCTCTATAATATTTCATCATAAAGCTTTAACTATGACAGTGATGCCTCTATAATATTTCATCATAGAGCTTTAACTATGACAGTGATGCCTCTATAATATTTCATCATAGAGCTTTAACTATGACAGTGATGTCTCTACAATATTTCATCTAAGAACTTTACCTATGACAGTGATGCCTCCATAATATTTCATCATAGAGCTTTAACTATGACAGTGATGCCTCTATAATATTTCATCATAAAGCTTTACCTATGACAGTGATGCCTCTATAATATTTCATCATAAAGCTTTACCTATGACAGTGATGTCTCTATAACATTTCATCATAGAGCTTTAACTATGACAGTGATGCCTCTATAATATTTCATCATAGAGCTTTACCTATGACAGTGATGCCTCTATAATATTTCATCATAGAGCTTTACCTATGACAGTGATGCCTCTATAATATTTCATCATAGAGCTTTACCTATGACAGTGATGCCTCTATAATATTTCATCATAGAGCTTTAACTATGACAGTGATGCCTCTATAATATTTCATCAAAGAGCTTTACCTATGACAGTGATGCCTCTATAATATTTCATCATAAAGCTTTACCTATGACAGTGATGCCTCTATAATATTTCATCATAAAGCTTTACCTATGACAGTGATGCCTCTACAATATTTCATCAAAGAGCTTTACCTATGACAGTGATGCCTCTATAATATTTCATCATAAAGCTTTACCTATGACAGTGATGCCTCTACAATATTTCATCATAGAGCTTTAACTATGACAGTGATGCCTCTATAATATTTCATCATAGAGCTTTACCTATGACAGTGATGCCTCTACAATATTTCATCATAGAGTTTTACCTATGACAGTGATGTCTCTACAATATTTCATCATAGAGCTTTAACTATGACAGTGATGCCTCTACAATATTTCATCATAGAGCTTTACCTATGACAGTGATGCCTCTATAATATTTCATCATAAAGCTTTACCTATGACAGTGATGCCTCTACAATATTTCATCATAGAGCTTTAACTATGACAGTGATGCCTCTATAATATTTCATCATAGAGCTTTACCTATGACAGTGATGCCTCTACAATATTTCATCATAGAGCTTTACCTATGACAGTGATGTCTCTACAATATTTCATCATAGAGCTTTAACTATGACAGTGATGCCTCTATAATATTTCATCATAGAGCTTTACCTATGACAGTGATGCCTCTACAATATTTCATCATAGAGCTTTAACTATGACAGTGATGTCTCTACAATATTCCATCCTAGAGCTTTACCTATGACAGTTCAGATCAAGAATGGGCTGTCAGATCTTTAATTTTGGTCCCACTTAATACAATCTCAATTTGATCTTGATAAAAAACACTATCATTTTCATATAGATAAAATTTACTTTGTGTTATACCTTTAGGGCTGACAGGTGATGATGGTGCAGAAGAATGTAATATATCTGAATCATCGTCATGACGACGTGGTATATGACAAATTGGTGCCGTTAGAAGATTATATTCAAATATTAAATCACACAAGGCTTGTTTGACAGCAGACGTTAATTTATTAGTTAATTGTTTGAGTTGAGGTGAGGTGGTAAATCTATCCCATATTTTAAACTGAATCAGAGCTGTAGGACCTGAAACAATAAATAATCAAATGATAAATGAAATGAAAACCCACAGCCATCGTCCAAGCATCAAACACTATAACGGACAATGTTATAGTCTGTCCTCAATGATAAAAGCTGAAGTTACCTGGTCTAGAAGAATCAGGGGAAGGATCATGTTGAACTGTATTCACCAAATATTCAAACTCTTCTTCATTCTGTATAGTACAGGTAGTCATTTTACTGGGGTAGGGACAGTTTAATAGTTTGACTGGTAAGCCTGTAGAGTCTACTAGTGATAAACTGATAAACACCAGACCTGTTATATAAAATAATTTATTCTATCATTTAGATTGGTAAAGATATAAAATAAACAGGCCATCAAATATACGAACATGGACTGTGGTTTGCTAGTACAGTTTGTTTAGTTATTTACCTGTTCGAATAATAGAGTTTTACATCCTACAGTTCATATTAAAAACAACTAATACAATGAAAGTTACCTTTTCCTCCAGCAGGAGGTCTGATATACAGGAAAGCGTTTTCTGATTTTACAGCCTCACTATCATCTTCATCATCATCCTGATCAAAATGAGAAATCTATGGTCACAATAATTTCAATGATGCAAATAAAAGAGCAACATATGGCCCTGACACATATAAAAAGTTTAATAACACTCTAAACAATCCTAAACTTATAATGGAAACATTAATCATAAATCTGAGTGAGAAGTAACAGACTGAAATTAATATTGATAACAACAGAGTGTAGGATTGGGCACCAAGTTACCTTGGGACTGATTACTGGTCCTCACCTGAAAGTGATATTCTGTGTTGTTGCTATCGTAGTTTGGTGTGTGTAGAAATTGTAATAAATTCTGTCGAAGATAATACATCAGAGCATATAAATACATCATAGAGTGAGGTGGTATTGATAGCTGTAATACTTGAGTTATAGGTGTATCTTGTATAAACTACAAATAAATATCAAAATAAAAATATCAAAATAGAAATATCAACATAGAAATATCAAAATAAAAATATCAACATAGAAATATCAAAATAAAAATATCAACTATCAACATAGAAATATCAAAATAAAAATATCAACATAGAAATATCAAAATAAAAATATCAACATAGAAATATCAAAATAAAAATATCAAAATAGAAATATCAAAATAGAAATATCAAAATAAAAATATCAACATAGAAATATCAAAATAAAAATATCAACATAGAAATATCAAAATAAAAATATCAAAATAGAAATATCAAAATAGAAATATCAAAATAAAAATATCAAAATAGAAATACCAAATACCTACATGGTTAAGAAATAATATAACTGGACATGTCTGATAAATAAAAATAATTAAGAAGTAAACTACCTGTACATCTTCTGCCTTTAATTTACATTTAGGGTTTCTGTTTAACATCAAAGACAGTGAGTCAAGAACAGATTCATCTAATTTACACTGTAATGCTTTCACTAGATCATTTTGAATCTCATTACCTATAAAAATAAAAATATATATATATTGTCTGAGAATTTATATTGTTATAAATGTATACCATTAACAATATATATCTATGTGCACTCTACAAATCATGCTGAATCTCTGTAAGTAGAATATAACAATACAATAAATTTGTTGGCTCTCTGAAAGGGAAGCCTAAATGACAACCCAAATACAACTAAACATTAAGGGATTTTAAATTAAAGAAATTACCGACTTCCTCAATACCATAAACTAATAATTCTACCACAGACTCAATACGAGATGAGAGACGGCTGAATCCAGAGAAATTTGATACAGTGTCATATTCTGATTTACTGTAACCTGAAGTGGACTGGAAAATCAAAATAAATTTTATTAATCAAGACAATTGATACAACTGTCATGAAAGTATAAAATTTATTAATCAAGACAATTGATACAACTGTTATGAAAGTATAAAATTTTATTAATCAAGACAATTGATACAACTGTCATGAAAGTATAAAATTTTATTAATCAAGACAATTGATACAACTGTTATGAAAGTATAAAATTTTATTAATCAAGACAATTGATACAACTGTTATAAAAGTATAAAATTTTATTAATCAAGACAATTGATACAACTGTCATGAAAGTATAAAATTTTATCAATTAAGACAATTGATACAACTGTCATGAAAGTATAAAATTTTATTAATCAAGACAATTGATACAACTGTTATGAAAGTATAAAATTTTATTAATCAAGACAATTGATACAACTGTCATGAAAGTATAAAATTTTATTAATCAAGACAATTGATACAACTGTTATGAAAGTATAAAATTTTATCAATTACTCCTAAAAAATCATTTTTGTGAGGACTTCAATTTTCAGATTACCCTGTGTTTAAATTAATATTTCATAGCGATATTTCTGTGTATATTTATTAACATAATTTACCTCTTCTACTTTTGTAGAAACTGACATTAAATCCATCGGAATATCTACAATAAAAATAAAACTTTACTTTAAGTATAATCTATTTGATTTGGCTGTTATGAGAATAAAGTTATATTAAACAGATGTAGCACTATTTTAAATATCTCTTCAACTGTTTCCAGAATTTATTTTCTGTTTTCCAAAAGAAGATAATTGTATGACTATATGAGATATACTAAGAGTTATCTACCTTGTCCCCGAACCTCTTCCTCTAACATATCAACTGACATTGCTGTCTGTACAACTGGAACGTTCCGTAACTCCCGTAACCTATTGTTAGATAGAGGGGGAGTTTTACACCCTACAATTCTACACTCAATAGAACTAGTAAAGTAGTTAACCTAACCTAGTGATATACAATAACAAAGTTTCTGTCTATGAAGGGAGATAACTAGTACTTGTGAGTTATTCAGTGAGGTGACCAGCTAGTTGAAAGAGTTATACAGTATGCTATAAGGGAAATTTTGCCAGAACATTTGCAAAACATGAGCAGAATAAGCAATTTTAGTGAACAGGTTAAACAATAAAAACCTCCAACTTCTTACCTCATGTAAAACACGTTTTCTGATTGTGTTTCTTTAATAACAAACATATTCTTTCTATTACTGACTGATAGTTTATTTAATACACTTTTTAATGATAAAAAACCTGAAATAATTTTACAATATATTGAATTGGGTGGCATTTAATCAAAGTGGAAGGCAATCAAATTTAACATCTTTCTTTCCTACACCTAATAAAGATGAGCAACCATTCTAGTATTAATCATTCCAATATTATACATATTCATTTACAGGTGGGTCATCTGGAATAATGAGGCAAGAATTTAAATCAAACTTCACCCAACCTATTGAACTATATTGAAGGACTGTTTCTCCAAATGCTGTTTTCCTGTCAAAACAAATCTATCATGATCTGTTATCTTACCTTTAGATACACTTCCAATTCTTTTATTGACCTCCTTCAATCTGGGATGTAAAACAAAGATAGTTTTCCAAACACACTCGCAGGAGAAATGACCAGGATTAAACTCTAGTCTAGCAGCTAGGTAATGTTTTCCTTTTCCATCTTCACTTTCTTCATCTTCATTTTCAGACGCTACAAGAAAATAATAAGAAATGAAATATATAATATAAATCTGAATATAAATCTGAATATAAATCTGAATATAAATCTGAATATAAATCTGAATATAAATCTGAATATAAATCTGGACAGTGATGTATAAAACTAGAAGAAAGCAAACGAGTGCATTTTATTTCCACTGAGTAGAGTTAAGCTTGCTTTAACATTATATATATGACACTGATAGACACAAATTGAGAGATTCTAAGCAATCAAATCATTTTGGTTTGCCAATTAGCTCAGTGAATAAATTAGCTCAGTGAATAAATCAGCTCAGTGAATAAATTAGCTCAGTCAGTGAATAAATTAGCTCAGTCAGTGAATAAATTAGCCCAGTCAGTGAATAAATTAGCTCAGTAAATTAGCTCAGTGAATAAATTAGCTCAGTGAAAAAGGACTGAAGAAGAAACATAGCTTATGATAATATTACCTGTACTTTCTACCATAGATCTATTAGAGGACGTTCTCTTGTCTCCCCAGAGATTGTCTTCCTCTCCCATACCAACTAGTAACGAGTTACACACCCTCGTCTCATTCAACTCTTTTAACAATAAATACTGAAAAATATACAATAATATCAAAATCCAACATCATACAAGACAACTCTTTTAACAATAAATACTGAAAAATATACAATAATATCAAAATCCAACATCATACAAGAAAACTCTTTTAACAATAAATACTGAAAATATACAATAATATATAGAATATGTCAGATAGTGTCCTGACTGAGTAGAAAGATTTAACATACCTGATTGACTTTCTTACAAATACTCTGTATATTCTGTTTAACATGAAACAATAGAGTTCTTCTATCACCTCGTTCTCTGATAGCCTCTTCATTAGCTTCACTTAAAAATAACATTAAGATATAATGAGTGAAAGAAGTACTGTATATTTGGTGAATAATGCACAGTATTTTACCGGAGATAAATCTTTTAAAAGTGGTTCTGTTATAATTATAGCTATGTGAACTATCTGAAAGGGATGCTGTGTTGAAGAACCTGAATCCATATAAACATTATTAGCTATGTGGACTCTCTAGAAGGGATGCAGACTGTAGGGATTGTATCAGGTGTTGCTGTATGATTGACTTACCCGTTGATAGAGTCTCTAGTATGGAAGAATATTTCAGCCTTCTCAGGATGGATTTGTAAAATTAACCAGAAGTTTGGTAGCTGAGGATGATTGAGACCACCATCACTGACAGAGTTGGTGTCATCTAGTTCACCATCACTAGAATCACCTTCATAACCTATAATACACCAGTCAAACTCATGTAAGCCAGCAGTCAGGAGAAGTAGCTGCTTATTGAGGTTAACTACTGTAGAAACATATTAAATACAAATATTTAAAGAAGACTCTTTCAAACTCACCATCTTCATTGTAGCTTCCTCGTGAAGAAATCCAAGATGGTGTCTGAGGTAAAGTTGATGACCTACTTTGTGGTGTACCAGGTCCTGGACCAGACGGTGCAGAGAAGTGACGATTTCTGACCTTTTCTGTTAGAAACCCTGGTTTCAAGGGAGATAACTGATCAGAGGGAATGATAGGAGGAGGAGTTGATGTTTCAAAACTTGCAAAACTTGAGGACTTCTTCAATATACCTGAAACAGAGAGAGTGGAGGTGGAATCACCTGTAATAGGGACTGGTACATCAGGGGGATATACTGTTGGGTCAAGATGTCTAGAGAATAAGAAGGTATATAATTATCTGGAAGGGATGGTCTCACATGTGGTTTGGTATAATAAAGTATATAATTACTATGTGGAGGTGTTGGTTCTCGTATAACAGCTGCAAATAACGGTAATCCTTGTTGAATATTTGTTACAACTTGAGACGGTGAGACCAGCTCTTCCCCAATACCAGACACAGAACGTCTTAAATATTTCGCTTCCGATCGACTCCTTGGTCTGAAATCTCCTTCTTCATCCTCTGAATCTATCTCCACTGGTATCCCAGTGGAGCTCTGATCAAGGGGAGCTAACTCTGTGATGTCTTTAGCCATTAGTAATGAAGGGAGGCTGTTGCTTCGTTCTTCAAATTTATTAAAACCTTGTGGAAGATCTATGGGTCTGTCTGATTTAGACGTTTTGTCTGTATCACGAGATAAATTGTCCAGAGCGTGAGCTATTTCAGCAGCTTGAAGAATATTAATAGAATGAGTTCGATTTAAAATCACAAAATAAAAATCTCCTTCTTTGGTTAAACAGTAGTTTGGATTTGGTACACTTGATCGTTCAAATTCCTGAAAGCAAATTGAAAGTTACATCATGTGTTTTCACCAGTTTATAGGAGAGGAGAAACACTCATTTTTATTGTTTTTTTTTCTCAGAATTCAGAGGCAACTGAATCTGCTAAGACTAGTTGATAATGTCATAATATAAACAGAAGTCAAAATAAAATCTATTCAGTAGACATGCTAGTTTAATAATTATTTTTGTACTGTGAAGCCTAACCCATAATTTTAACAGATCTTTGTATCAAGAGTAGGAATTCAAATCATGGAAAGAATTTAATGCTTAGGTGGTAAATATTTTACACCGAAAATATTACCTTCTAAAACAACTATCTTCTTGAACAACTATATTCTTAAACAAAAAACAACTATATTCTTAAACAAAAAACAACTATATTCTTAAACAACTATATTCTTAAACAACTATATTCTTAAACAACTATATTCTTAAACAACTATATTCTTAAACAACTATATTCTTAAACAACTATATTCTTAAACAACTATATTCTTAAACAACTTTATTCTTAAACAACTTTATTCTTAAACAACTTTATTCTTAAACAACTATATTCTTAAACAACTTTATTCTTAAACAACTATATTCTTAAACAACTATATTCTTAAACAACTATATTCTTAAACAACTATCTTCTTAAACAACTATATTCTTAAACAACTATATTCTTAAACAACTATATTCTTAAACAACTATATTCTTAAACAACTATCTTCTTAAACAACTATCTTCTTAAACAACTATATTCTTAAACAACTATATTCTTAAACAACTATATTCTTAAACAACTATATTCTTAAACAACTATATTCTTAAACAACTATATTCTTAAACAAAAAACAACTATATTCTTAAACAACTATCTTCTTAAACAACTATATTCTTAAACAACTATATTCTTAAACAACTATCTTCTTAAACAACTATATTCTTAAACAACTATATTCTTAAACAACTATATTCTTAAACAACTATATTCTTACCTCTGTAAATCTGATCAAACTTTGATTGGAACCAAAAACGAATTTAAGAGGAACAACATAATTATCACAGCCTGGTTTATTCTCTTTTTTATATTTTCTAACGTGCTCTGTAACGAACTGTAGAGTGTCAGGATTGATAGGGTAGAAATGACGTAGAGCTGATACAATTTCATCATTTAATAACCATTCAATCTATAAATAAATAAATCATAACAATGAATTAAAACATCAGCAACGGCAGAGGACAACATAATTTGGGGAGACATTGAGAATAACTGCATAAAGAAAATTGACCATCCAGTTATTCTCAACAATGATTATAACATGAGATATGATAGTGACCTAGCTGTTATAATGATAATGATATCCAGTTATTCTCCACAATCATTATAACATGAGATATGATAGTGACCTAGCTGTTATAATGATATGATTCCAGTTATTCTCCACAATGATTATAACATGAGATATGATAGTGACCTAGCTGTTATAATGATAGATATCCAGTTATTCTCCACAATGATTATAACATAAGATATGATAGTGACCTAGCTGTTATAATGATATCCAGTTATTCTCCACAATGATTATAACATAAGATATGATAGTGACCTAGCTGTTATAATGATATCCAGTTATTCTCCACAATGATTATAACATAAGATATGATAGTGACCTAGCTGTTATAATGATATCCAGTTATTCTCCACAATGATTATAACATGAGATATGATAGTGACCTAGCTGTTATAATGATAATGATATCCAGTTATTCTCCACAATGAAAATAACATAAGATATGATAGTGACCTAGGTGTTATAATGATAATGATATCCAGTTATTCTCCACAATGATTATAACATAAGATATGATAGTGACCTAGCTGTTATAATGACATTCAGTTATTCTCCACAATGATTATATCATGAGATATGATAGGGACCTAGCTGTTATAATGATAATGATATCCAGTTATTCTCCACAATGATAATAACATAAGATATGATAGGGACCTAGCTGTTATAATGATAATGATATCCAGTTATTCTCCACAATGATTATAACACGAGATATGATAGTGACCTAGCTGTTATAATGATATCCAGTTATTCTCCACAATGATTATAACATGAGATATGATAGTGACCTAGGTGTTATAATGATATCCAGTTATTCTCCACAATGATTATAACATAAGATATGATAGTGACCTAGCTGTTATAATGATAATGATATCCAGTTATTCTCCACAATGAAAATAACATAAGATATGATAGTGACCTAGCTGTTATAATGATATCCAGTTATTCTCCACAATGATTATAACATGAGATATGATAGTGACCTAGCTGTTATAATGATATCCAGTTATTCTCCACAATGATTATAACATAAGATATGATAGGGACCTAGCTGTTATAATGATAATGATATCCAGTTATTCTCCACAATGAAAATAACATAAGATATGATAGTGACCTAGGTGTTATAATGATATCCAGTTATTCTCCACAATGATTATAACATGAGATATGATAGTGACCTAGCTGTTATAATGATAATAATATCCAGTTATTCTCCACAATGAAAATAACATAAGGTATGATAGTGACCTAGCTGTTATAATGATATCCAGTTATTCTCCACAATGATTATAATATAAGATATGATAGTGACCTAGCTGTTATAATGATATCCAGTTATTCTCCACAATGAAAATAACATAAGATATGATAGTGACCTAGCTGTTATAATGATATCCAGATATTCTCCACAATGATTATAATATAAGATATGATAGTGACCTAGCTGTTATAATGATATCCAGTTATTCTCCACAATGAAAATAACATAAGATATGATAGTGACCTAGCTGTTATAATGATATCCAGTTATTCTCCACAATGATTATAACATAAGATATGATAGTGACCTAGCTGTTATAATGATAATGATATCCAGTTATTCTCCACAATGAAAATAACATAAGGTATGATAGTGACCTAACTGTTATAATGATATCCAGTTATTCTCCACAATGATTATAACATGAGATATGATAGTGACCTAGCTGTTATAATGATATCCAGTTATTCTCCACAATGATTACAACATGAGATATGATAGTGATGCAATTATTTCAAAAGAAAATGATATTTTACCTCTTCTTTAAAGGCCATCATAGCAACATGTTGTTTTCTCTGGAGATGACCAATAGGATCTCCCAGACCCTCTTTCAGTCTAAAAATAACAAAAAATCTTTATGACCTTAACCCTTGTAACCAATAAGTTTTAACTCAGGCCTTTAGTTGTCCTG